TAACATGAAATACATGGCAGAATGCGGGTAAAACCAAGCAGGGGCATACAATTCTCCCCCAAGGAGTTCAGTCACAAATTTAATTAACGCATTTTTTTTAACAAGCATCATCAGCATGGAAGCATGTCCTCTGGAATGGTGGCCAAAGCATGAAGGCAAGTATCAGGGGGTAGCCGTGTTAGTCTGTATCTACAAAAACAACAAGGAGTCTGGTGGCACCTTAAAGACTAACAGATTTATTTGGGCATAAGCTTTCGTGAGTAAAAACCTCACTTCTTCGGATGCATGAAGGGGCATACAATGTTTTAGCATATCTGGCGCATAAATACATTGCAATGCTGGCTACAAAAGTGCCATGCGAACGCCTGTTCTCACTTTCAGGTGACATTGTATATAAGAAGGAGGCAGCATTATCTCCCGCAAATGTAAACAAACTTGTTTGTCTTAGCAATTGGCTGAACAGAAGTAGGACTGAGTGTACTTGCAGGCTCTAAAGTTTTACATTATTTTGTTTTTGAGTGCAGTTATGTAACAAAAAAATCTGCATTTGTAAGTTGCACTTTAACGATAAATAGATTGTACTAGAGTACGTGTATGAAGTGAACTGAAAAATACTATTTCTTTTGTTTATTATTTTTACAGTGCAAATATTTGTAATGTAAGCAGAGTCAGAATGAGCTCTGGTGGTGAACTGTGGAAAAGGACTTCAGGGGCTGATCTCGTTTGCATGGGCACACCCACCCTGCCTGGCATGATGGGACTACTTGCCCATATGTTCACTTTGGCTGCTGTGGGATCCCCAGTCTCTTTGTTATTGGGGCAGGAGTAATAAAGTGTTGTAATCCTGGTTATGTGAATCAAGGACAGTAGAACTATACTTGGCATTTTATGATGGAGGGACTTGTCCTCAACTAAGTAGCACTCGCTAGGCAAGGGACATGGGTTCCAAAGCCCAGTGAATTGAGAGAGGTTGGGGGCACTGGCATATGTACCTGGCAGCTTGGGCACCAAACACCACTTTTAGCCCAGCCCAGCCCAGCCCTCCCTCTGGTGTAATAACAGGGCTAATTACGACTCCATTAGGAGTCTTGTTATGTGCTGCAGAGCTGAAATCACTGATTCCTAGGTCTAAGCTGTGACGGGTTGGATCACAGAAACCCCCTTGGGAGCTGCCACCAGATGTGCAAAGACTACCCCTGCTTCTGTTTTCCCTG